ACCCGTCTGTTTATCTGGTCTTGGGAATTTAAAAAATTGTCGACCCTTAAAGCTAATATGATCACTGACTATTTTCCAATTCTGATTATGCCTGTAGGAAGCCCAAAAAACAATAAGATAAACCCTGACAGTAAAATTGGATTTAATATTGTGGAAGAAAATACCCTGACTTTTAAATTTTGTTTAGGGTGGCTATATAATAACGTAAGCCAGATATAATGTCAATTTAATAGAGATTTAGGGATAGTGTTGCATTTAAAAGAAGAATCACAGCACTGTTCATTGAATATACCATCTTAATATATGGGTAACAAATATTTAAAATCTTACTGTATGCCAAGACCCTGGCCTGAACCACATGTTAGCATTCACAGTAACCTCTATGAACATTCCTGTTCAACGTGGAGAAAGGAATTGGACTCTCTTCCACATCTGGCCAACTGCTAATTCCTTTTAATTTTGTTTACAAGCTGAGCTTTCTTCTTCCATGACCAAAAAAAAAAAAAAAAAAAAAAAGTTTCCTCTGTTTACAAGTCATTTTAAAAAATCCTTTTCAATCAAACTGATCAGGTATCTTGGTAAAAGCCCTTCCCCATGGGCTCAGGGATTTCCCCAGTACTGGGTCCTGGCCCCATGAGTAAGGAATCACCCGCTCATCTTTCAGCCCATGCAAGCATCTTGGAGGTTTAGAATCTGTCAGGCCTGGCATTCCTTCCCTCTTATCACTCTCTACCCCTTCAAAAAGGCAATTGATTCGTTTCAGCTTTTCCAAACCGAGATCTGATATGTTTTTCAGGATCAAACATCTTTGAGAAGTCCAGAGAGCAATGTGGGAAATGGGGAATGTGAAGAAGGAAAACAGGAGGGGGATGGTGAAATTCATCTCTTACCCTAACTCTCCAAAGGAACCTAGGGGATGGGCATGCTGGGCAGGAGATGGAATTGTGACTCCTGGAAGATTCACTTAACAACTTGTATCTTCCCTTTCTGAAAGCAAATATTTAAAGAAGAAAATAGATATCTAGAAAAGGAGGTTGATTTATGTCTGGATTTCTTTCCAAGCTTTTGCCTTTCTTGTATTTACAGGCGTGTCCCCATTTGCAAGTTGTACATCTGTTCTATTCACGTGACATTTCATAAAAGCCCTAACATCTGGGCAAGATAAACTTCCTTCAGGTACCTGCTTAACTTTTCACTTGTCAAACTCACTTCACCCCCTAAGGCATCCCTTTCCCTCTCCTACTTGCCTCAGTAGTGGCCTCTGTGGGGTTGCCCTTTGTTCCAGTCCTCCCACTCCCCACCCCCACCTCGCTGGCCCCCAGTTCCATCTTCCCGAAATATCACCCCCTCCCATTGTCAACCTTTGCCATGGCCAGGTTCTTTGAGAGACTTCAGATTCTTAGTCTCCCACTTCAGGCCTTACTGTGCAGGTAAATGAGGGCAGCATTTTGAACTGCTGAAGAAAAAAATTCATATTTTTGATTTGGTCTTCAGTCAAAAAGCGAACCAAAAGGAAAATGGCCTAATACGCCATACAGACTCACAGTTAGGTCCAACAGTCCTTTATACATCTATACATTCCTCAATAAAGTGAAAGAAAAGAGCAGCTGATCTTGGTGGTAGTCTTTTCCTGAGTTTTCTCTAGTAGATACGAAAACTTCACGTTTTACAGAAATTTAATTTCACTTGCTGGAAATCTCCCCTCCCCCAAGAAGGCTGTCTTCTGGAATGAATGCTTTTAGAGTTGTTTTTTTCTTTTCCTAACCTGGAATTTTGTTCCTCTGACTTTAGCCTAAATCACATGAAGAAGAGGACACACTGACAAACTTGGGGTGGGGGGAAGAAAAAAATAGAAGGAAAAGAAAATAGTACACGTAAACAAGAAAGGAGGCAGTTGGAGGCCCTCACTGCAGCAAACCCCAAACGATCTCGTTGCAGGGCGCCCACAAAATCCAGGCTATAATTGAGTGTTTTCTTTGAGGTTTTCTGACCATGTGCTTTTTACCATGGTTACTACGACTCTGATTCCAGAAGCTGAATATTCATCATCATTCCATCCCAACCTTTCAGAAGGCTTATCTCGTTGGTCCTTACAAAGGAGAATCTAAAGAGGCCACGTCTGTGCCAGTGATTTTAACCTGCTCCACCTTCCAGTGACCTGCCACATGCTCCTTCTTACTTTATAGACATCTGGGAATTCCATACATGCCTTAAACTCCAATTACACACCTTCTTCAAAGGACACGTCCTTTGATTTGCTAAGAACATTAAGTGGGCTCACGTCCTGAGGCCTGAGGCCTGAGGCCTGAGGCCTTGAGACAAAAGCGAATGTTAAATGTATCCCATGTCGGTTTTTTTTTTTTTTTATTTAAACTGGGTCTACCTTTTGCTGTCCAGTAAAGAAAAATAGCTAATAACCCTCCTGTTTGCACATTCGTGGGCTATCGAAGAGTTGGGAGGTTTCTGAGAAATAGCAGGATTGCGCTTGAGCAAACATGAAGAAACCGATTTCTCCTTCCACTTTGCCGGTGCACTTTCCTTCCACTTTCACTGGTGCTGGGGGCGGCGCACACTTTACGACTTATAAGCGGAAAATTCTGCCAAAGTGGCCCCCGGGGATCCCCGCCCGACCCCTGTCTGTCGCTAATGTGGGCCTGTCTCTGGAAATTCGAGGTTGGGCCTTTGCCTGAATCTGTTGCTGCTGCTCCCCTTGCTACCGCTGACACTTGGCGCCGCCGTCTCGGAGCAGCGGCCAAACGCGGGGCTGGGGGCCTTCCACGCAAACCTACAGAGGCACGGACACTGGCATTCTCCCCACCGCGCGGGCCGGGTCGCCACCCACGCAGGGGAAACCGTGCCCGTGCCCCTTTCCCGCGCCCGCTGCAGGTGAGACCCTCGCTCCCCACGGAGTTCTGTTTGGGTTTCCGTGGCGTTTGTTCCCCGCAGGTTTGTTTGTTTTTCTTCAAATTACAGATGCAGGGAAAACCGCCTGACATCATGAGAGCGGGACAAACGTTCACTTTGAAGGATTCCTGGGCAGGACTTCAAGTGAAATCATATGCCTGAGAAGAACTTGATACCGGTCTAGAGAAAATAACCAGTTCTGACTTTGCCAAACCATGGAATGTGCAAAATGCTCTACTTTTTTGCAAGAGGCCAAGTGTCCCTTAAAAAGCTCCATTATGAATATGAACCTTAAGACCGAAGGGTCAAGAAGCTTGTGCCGTTGTTGAGTGTGGGAAAAAATTTATACACATTATGTAAGTTTTTGCTTTTTAACTTTATTAATATGTTTCACTTTGGGGAGGGTACCTGCAACTGTGCATGAATCATGCTTAGCATGCATGGGGGCAAAAGGGGAGATGTGTATATGGGTAAAAAATTACTGCTTTCTTATGACTGAAGGTTATTAACCTACCAAGTTATAAACAAGATAAAAATAATAAATAGCACATTCAATTTTGTAATAAATAACACGTTCAATGTTTTTTAAAGGAAATATTCAGTTTTCTACAATTTACCCAAAACGATTTAATACAATACTTTCCCCCAGCAAATGCATTCTGGCCGAAGGAAAAAGATCCCAAGTCGACGACCACATTAACTGGAAGGAGTTAGCTTCTCATTTCTGAATCAGAGGTAATTCATTCTATGTATTCCTTAAATAAGAGTAGGTAGCAAATATAAAATGAAATAAAATAAAAAAGATATAATGGTGGAGGGAAATAAACAGGTGGTTTCATTTCTATTATAAAAAAGAATTTCGAGATTTATGTCTTGTGTATGGTGGGTAGGGATTACAGAGAGTCTGCAAGCTGGAAATAGCATTCCAGTAGTTAATATTTTTCATTGTGCAGTCGCCTCATTCAAAATAAAAGTATGTACCACCTATTTTTTAATTCATTTATTTCTCTGAAAATCTAGGGGGAAACATTACCTTCAGTTTAGTATTTAAAATTACTCACTATAAATACGGCATTTACTTTGCTCCAAAGTGTTTCCTCTTATGAAAAAAGTGGAAAATGCAAAACACATTTAAAAAAAAAAAAAAAGAAAGGCAAATGAAGAGCTACCTTTCTTTGACACATCCAGTTTTTATGTTCAGAGTTAAGATAGCAATTACCTTCTCAGCAGTGATGGCCAGCTTCATCCTGGTGTACCTCAAGAAATCTGAAATATCAAATAGTCAGACCAAGCTAGTGAACAAGGAGACTCTTCATGAATAATTTAGAAAATGGAGGTGGTTGGATGATATATACAAAAGAGAATTACCAACCGGGAATGCTTTCCCTAATCCTTCTAGGGCACCCTCTTTACATTTCTACTCTACCCAACACACACACACACCCCCCACAAACACACCCACACATAATCACCTTCCCTTTCTGTTATTTGCTAAAAGACTATCAAAACCCAAAATTAATAATAATACTTCTCCAAGATTTCAGTAATCTTTTAATGCAATTAAATGCTACAGACTCCTTATTGTAAAATACTGTCTGAAATATTCACAATAAATTTATAATATTGTTATGTCAGCATTCTATGGTACTATGTGGAAAAGAAAACAAAAACCTTCAGGCAATAAAATGACCTCGAACTGAGCTAAGCAAAAATGATCTGTTTGGATACATGCACTTATTAGTCATAGTTTGAATTAGGTACCAAAATAATTTTTCAGTTTGAAAGCTTCCCCAGTTACACTTCAATGCAGTAAATTGGATGTAAAAGAACTAAATGATACAAAATCACTATTTCTAATAATATTAACTATAAAAGCCAGTGTGTTCCTGGCCCAGAAAAACCAGAATAAAAAAAAAAATCAAACACCCCAGGTTGCCCATTATTTTTACTTAACTTCAGATTTTGTGTGTGTGTGTATGGTCTCACCACAGAAAAATTCTGTGTAATTTTGGATGAAATATATTTGTTAATGAATTGACTAGAAACTGCATAGCTGTAGTAATTAAAACTGTAATTGTTCCAACAGTTATCAAGGATACTGAAAGTTCAGGTTCTTCATTATGTGTATTTTATTCCACAGCCTTATATTCTTCATACCAAAAAAAGAATGCTGCTTCCCAAATAACATCAATATAGGGATATATTAACTTTTCTTTTTAGCAAACATGACACTAAGTATCATATTCATTCATGAGAGAAGAATTAAGCAAATTATTTTACAAATGAAATTTTCTCTTTTCTGCTGAATTATGCCATTTTCTATGCATTTATGGTCATTTCTCTGTGTGTACAGATAATTTTCATAACACTATCTTTTGACTGAAAAGAACCTGCTATTTAGGAATCTTCACAAAGAGTGAAGAGCATGACAAAAAGTACATAATGAAAGAAAGTAGTGCAGGTTTCATGCTGCTTATTTGCATTTAACTGTTTTACAACTACGACCTCAAAATATTAGGGAGGTGAATAGCAAATTTGTTAATTTTTGCTGTTTGGAGATGAAAAGAGATGAAGAAGAGATGGTACTAAGACCACTGAATACCAAACTGGAATAATAATAAAGCTGTCTTTTTAAATAACATGCTTGTGTCTGTCAGTAGCAGCTTTATTTGAGTTTTTCACTGCTTTGTTTATATTAGCCCCCCCTCCCCCGGGTGCCTCTAGAATTAAACAAGCAGGTATTTACCACCAACTTAATCTTTCGCTTTAAAAATATAGACCAAACTTTAAGGTTCTTTAAATTTTTGATCATATTTATTTATTGCAGAAAAATATACAAAGATATTTACAAAACAATCATAAAAATATGAATGCATTTAGACACCGGATCTATTTGCATTTTACCATGGGTCCTCAATAAATAAATAGAATGTTGTTTTTTGTATTTTAAGTTTTTTTTTTCCCCCTCAGAGGAAGGATGAAAAAAAGAATTAACTGACTATGGTTTTGCAGGCCAGTTTGATCCCAGTATTTTTATTTCTAAAGGTGTTCTTATAGTTCCTCTGATTGTTACCATTTTAAAACAGAGAAAGTCCATAATGATGCCTTTCCTTTCAATGGCTGATTGGCACGACCTCTTGAGAATGCATGCATGAAAAAAATAAAAATAAAAACATTCTTCGTCAAAAAAAAAAAAAAAAAAAAAAACACAAACAACTGTTCAGACTTCTATCAGAATGCAGAGGTGTGAGGATGGTGCCGCTGCCCGTCTGGGAATCACTGTCCACGGGCCTGTCTCGCTTTCTCTTTTAAAAGTGCGCCCCACGCCCTGTTTCTTTGAATTTGGATTTTGCTCTTCTAATTTCCAAGAAAATCTTTGGCATATATTTTTATATTTAGTTATCCAGCTCCAGAGTCTCTAGACTGTCCATTTTCTCCTTCTCTGGAAACAATGACATCTGCAAAAACCCAGAGAGGGGGAGTTGGTTATTGTTTAGGTCTCTGCGGCTGTTTTCTAAGACTAGTGAGCACTGTTCTTATCACCACCACCGAGAAATTAAGCTGAACAACCTGGAAGGAATTCAGCCCAAGGGCAAGAGGAAGTGGGTGGGCGGAAAGGAGGAGGTGGAATTTGTTTTAAAACATTAGTTTTAAGGAGAAGAACAAAAATTGAAAGTCGGAAGAAAGGGATGTGCTGGCAAAACTGTCCTTACCCGTGACCCCTGGGTGTCTCTGTCTCCCCTCCAGTCTGTCACGCACACTCACGCGCACACACACCCCTCACCAGGGCGCATCCCCCTGGAGACCGCTCTCCTTGGCGGGGTCAGACCGGCCTTCCCGGGACGCTCGAGGCGCGAGGCAGCGGTGCCAAGTGAGGTGGGAAGGCTGAGAGCAGAGTGCGAGAAGGGAGGAAATCGAGGTGGACTGGGAACCGCGGCCTGGCCGGCCGGCCGTCTACCACCTGAGAGGCGAAGGGGTGCAGCGGTGCGGTCCTTACCTAGATCTCCGGCCCTGCCGAGGGGGTGGGGGGCTCCGCCTGCTAGTGGGATGCAGACATGGACCAGGCCCCCTCCATCCTCCAGACCGAGAAGGCGTAGCTGAGCCGCTCGTGAGCCACATAGCTGCAGCTTGCCATCTTGGAGTCCAGCTCGTCGCTCTGGAGGACCTGGTAGAGGAAATCGATGTACCTGGCCGCCAGCTTGAGGGTCTGAATCTTGCTCAGCTTGTCCGAGGGCAGCGTGGGGATGATCTTCCGCAGCGCGGCGAACGCCTCGTTCAGCGACTGAGTGCGCTGGCGCTCCCGCACATTGGCCATGACCCGCTGCGTCTGCAACTCCTCGTACGACTGCGGGCTCCCGCCGCCGCTGCTGCTGCCGCCGCCGCCGCCGCCGCCGCCCGCGCTGCCGCCGCCGCCGCAGCCCGCAGACTTCTTGCCGCGCTTGCCCTGGGCCGGGCTGCCCGGCTCGTCGCCGCCTCCGACGCCCCCGCCCGCGGCCCCGCCGGGCCCCGCGCCGCCGCCCGCGCTGCGCCGGCTGCTGCGCCGCTTGCGTCCCCCGCGCTTGCCGCTCGGCGGCTGCTGCCGGTCTGGCTCTTCCTCGCTGTTGCTCAGGCTGTCGTCGGCCGGCGAGACTGGTGAGCTGGACACGTCCTGCATCATCTCTCGGGCGGCGACGCGTGGCCTCGCGGGCCCGGGGCAGAGGGGCGGCCCTCGGAAGAGGAGGAGAGCGGGGTGCCTCAGCCAGCCAGCTTCCCCCGCGCGCGGCGCCGGCCCGGGCGGTAAGGCCAGCCGAGGAGGGAGCAGGAGGTCGGACGGGGAGGACCTCCGCGGGGAGGGCGCGCGGGGGAGGAGGGAGGGAGGCGGGAGGGGGAGGGGACGGTGTGGATGGCCCCGAGGTCCAAAAAGAAGGCGCCCAACGGCTGCACGCACACCCCGCCAGGCCTCCTGGAAACGGTGCCGGTGCTGCAGAGCCCGCGAGGTATCTGGGAGTTGGGCGAGAGCTGCAGACTTGGAGGCTCTTATACCTCCGTGCAGGCGGAAAGTTTGGGGGCAGCAGTGTCATTGGCCTGACGTGGGGAGGAGGGACTTTTCGAAGTTTTATAGGAAAGTTTCCGCTTTCCAGTCCCCCTCCCCCGTCCCACCTCCCTTCCTCGGGGTCTAACAATTCGTCCTCCCAAACCATTCAAAAACGACCTGGCCCGGGCGGCCGGCCCCTCCACCCGCCTCCTTGCCGCCCTCCCCCTTCCCTCTCCGTCGCCTTCCTCTGGCGGGCGCGGGGCACTTTCCTTCCCCTACGGAGCGTGCGGGCAGCGCACCCGAACCCTAACGCAGCCCGGGAAGTGGCCAGAGGAGACAGTCCCGGCCGCGGTGACAGCCCCATCCGGAGTGGCTGTGACATCAGCAGTGGCAACAGCTTCTACACAGTGGGTGATGTCTTATCTCGCCCAAGATCCCTCTAGGTCCGTGGGGCCGATTTGGGATTGCTGGGGCTGGGGGTGTGTGTGGCGGGGCGCGGGAGGGTGATTGCCAAGAAAACTGTCAACCGCGGAGGGCACCCAGTGGTCAGGTAGACGAACCACTTCGTGTTCCAAGGGCCAAACCGCGGCGGCCCAGCCCAGAGGTCCTGGGCGTTTCTGAAGACGTGGCCGCGCCGCGGCAACTGAGGATTTGCGTCCCGGCCTGCTCTCTCACCCTTCAGGGCCCTCCTTTTCCCTCTACAACGACCCAGTCTAACACTCCCCAACAACCAAAGGACTGCGCCTGGGAAGGTGCTCGAAAGAGGCAGAAGTTCACTCTCTCGCGGAAGGAAACCCAGTCCACGGGGAAGGGAGCAGAGCCAGAGGGGGGCAGCTCAGCGCCTGGCGGCAGCCCTGACAACTGACAATGCCAGCCCAAGGGAGAGGACCCTGTGGCCATTTCATCTCCACCCCCAAATTAGGCCCTGCTTTGTGATCTTGAAAGGCCAGCTTGTAAGAGAGTGAAGTGGGAATTTGATAGCGCCTGGACATAAGGGGCTGCCTGCTCTGAGACACTCTCTCCCAGCCCCCGCTTTCTAGGGGGTCCAGTGGACAGTTATGCTTCCTGAGCCCCAAACGCATTCCAGTTACTTGGATACGCTAACATTTTAAGCATTTCTGTCTATAAGTTAAAACGTAAGAGCCCCAAAGAGGGTGTTAACGTAGATCCTGGCAAACTGGAAGCAACAAAGTTGGTGAATGAGAAAAAAAGCCGCGTTGGATAAGAAGCCCATCTTTTGCAATGCTATACTTGTTTCCTTTTTGAAACGAGTTAAGGTGGTCCATCCCTTACATGGCAAAGTAAAAGACAGTAGACAGTGTTGGGGTGGGGGCAGAGTTTGGAGGCGACCACAGCGCTGGGAGTCCTTTGCACAGGCTAAAGTCCGCCCATGGGCTCCTCAGTACGGACTCGCCGGGAGGAACAATTAATTCAGCGAAGTGCCCCTTTCTGGACTGGAACAAGGGTCGTGGCTGCACATATCTCAAGCTGGAGGAAGAAGCCCAGGCGACTCGCGGGCAGGCCACGTGGCTGTTTCCTGTAAGGCTTGCAGCTTTGGTCCTGGAAACCTTAGGGTGTGGAGCTCGTTGGGCCGACTAAAGGGTTCGGCTTGTTGGGAGAAGAGAGGGCGAGTGTTACTTCTCCAGCGAGGGGTAAACAAGACTGTGCTTTCATGGGAGGGACAAATTGCAGAATTGGTCCCTTATCATTTTTACAAAAATACTCAGAAACAATGACTACAGCTGTCAACTGGCCTGTTTAGCGAGCCGCTGCCTTATTGTAAAATAGTCTGGCTGAAAATCAGATTCGACTTGACCTCCACTTAATTTCAGTAGCACTCTGGCAGTTCTCGAAACAGTCACCCCTGCACCCTTGCATATGTGTCTTCCACTTAACAGATTTTTATCTCTTGGGAGCGCTTAGAGAATGCAGCAGAAATTCTGCCCCACTCTTCATCAAGTGTTCTTTGTGTAAATCTGAATTGCGCAGTATTCTGCAATTCTTATGTAGAACATGGCTGCAGAAATCTTGACATTTTTTCCACTTCAGCTATTTAAAGATCAATATCAAATCTTATTTTTGTTTTGTTCTTTTTTTCTCTTTAGCTGAGTTATCAAAAATAAAGAGATTGAATGATGGACTCTTCCTTTGTGGCCACGGGTAAGCAAGACAGGAAAGTGTGGCCAAAGTGTAAAGGAAACCTTACCTGACCCAGGGGAATTGGGGAAGGGGAGGGGAGCGGTCAAGGAGCTGGAGGAGAAACCGCGTCCACAACGGCGAAACAGCCAGGGGTCATTAGCCAGCCCATCTTGCAGTCATCAATCTCCAAGACTAGTTCTTAGATAAGTGAGCCCAACCCTTTCCCGGCACTAAACTTCTAGCTGATGAAGAGCTCCTGGTCATTGGGTACAGGAACCCCCAACCAAGGCTCAGGCAACGCACTGATGACAGAATACTTAGAGGGGAATTCAAAATGAACACCTAACCAGAACCATCCTGACCATGGAATCATTCAGCCAGAGTCACAACTGATGACTACTTCTAAGAAGAAATTTCTCTTGAACTGTTCTAAAGAGTGGAGGATGAGAGGACCTTTGAGTTCCTAAGCAGGGCTTGAATGTTACTTTTGGGGCAAAAGGTATTGGCTTGCCAGGAGTTACCTCTGAAAATGGCTGGAGGTAGAAACTTCCTGCTTTACAAACTGCAACACGCCCTGGCTGATCGTCCAGTCTGCTCATGTACAGCTCTTTCTTATCTAACATTTTACCTAACAATTTTCTTTTCCACGTTTGCTGGGGCAAAGATGGCTCCCTTTTTACTTGTTGACAAGTCAGATATAATTCTGGATTGTCTTATAAATGCAACAATAATTGCAACTTCTGCAATATTCAGTTTAAATTTGAAACTACTTCTTTCTAAAATCTCAATCTTGGGATGGTAAAAACAATCTTAGAAATTTTCTTTTAAGGCTGAATTTTCCTTTAAGTCTGACATCCTTCCTAATTGGAAGGATGTCAATGGGGACTACATTCTTTGGGAATGCTAGAATTCAGTCATTTTGTCTACTTCTAAAATAAAATCCCCCCCAAAAAAATTAACTGAAAAAAAATTTCTTTTGTACTTGAATAATGCAAAATGATCTTTGTTTTCAAACTGCAAACCTGGCATGTATGCAATCCTGCCTGAGGAATGTGTGCTGTGTTAAAAATTGAAACAAAAAATACTGTTAAAAGTAACAGAGTTAGAAATCTCACACTGAACACATACAATAAATATTAAGTATCCTGACAGTTTGAATATGCTGTGACACTTTCTTAGCAACAATCCATTATAAATACTTTTAGATAAGGAAAACAAACACACACTATAGAATGGTTAGCAAGCTGGTAAATTCTGGAGTTTGGGCTTGCATAAAAGGTGAGTACTTCTATCTGTTCCTTCTCTTCTTTCTCCTCAGACTTTACATGGCCTATCACCTGTTTGTTGGCTCCGAGTTCTGAGAAATAATTTATCTGAAAAGCATAAATAATGCACAGGAGCATTCACACGGAAGGAGGTGAAAATTAGAAAGGCTGCAATTGAGTGACTATCAGATGAGGTACCATATCTTATATTTCATCTCGTTTTGAACACTCCAGAGGGACTGCTGTTTAAATGAGATAATTTTTTTGAAGTGGAATGTGAAGTCATGTCAGCACAATAACTGTAAAAGCTTATTCTTCTTTCATGACTCTGGTATCCTTAATAATGTTTAAACACCTTTCCCTAAATAAAAACTCATTCTTTTTCTTGTTAAATGATGATTTAATTCATAAATTGAACTGATTCTACATTTTTCTATCTGAATATCTTTGCAAGTAAATATTTATAATTTTATATATATGTATGAAATTATAAAATTTGAAATTTTCAATCCAGAAATAAAAAGAAAAAGTAAAAAGCACAATAAATTGAGGTGCCAACAATACGACAAATGAAACTTTCAAATAAATGTTAATCTTTAAAATCGCTGACATTCTGAACTCAGCCTAAGGATGAGATGAGGAGACACAGGTCTAACCTGTAGAAAGAGCGGGATCAGAATATGGGAAAGTATGGAGTCTTGAAGAGCATTTGTTTTCCTTTTTTTTTTTTTCGGTGGGTGTGTTGACTGGAGAGTTGGTATCTCAGCTGCCCATTAACCTTGGAAAACACACTCACTTCATTATATCAAAGAGTTGCTGGAATAACTGAAGAAAGAATGCAAGAAATAAATAGTTATTCAGAAGAACTGTTATCATGGTGTCAGTCTTCCTTCATAGCATTATGTGTCTTCTTTTTAATCATCCGATGACCAGTAATTTAAATATAAACTGAATGATTTACATTTCATGTTTTTTCAATTCTATTTCTCTTTCTGATTACTCATAACTTTCACGTTTTTTCATTTGAAGGGATTTCCTTTTTTCACAAATGGCTTTTCCTGAAGCCTTATGTCCTGCGGCTGTTGTTTGGTTTGGTTCTTTGCAGAAAACATGTTGTTTTTGCCAGTGACCACAAGAGGACACAATTTCCCAGATAACTGCTCCATAGAAGAAGAAAGCTAACAAAATAGCAAAAATAACACACAATATCATTTGGAGCTGTCGGTTTGATTTATGCCACTTTTATTAAAAATGAGTTGGCATTCAAACTTTTGAAAATTTTATAATTTTTATTTTTTTAGAACATGAAGAAAATACACTAATGTAGTTAAGGGAAAATGTCTTCTTTTACATTGACAAAATTGTGTATGAAACTCTTGGTGACTTGGAATTTTACTTAATTTTTGAGCCATGTTTGGCAATGAAAAACAGTTGTTTTTTTTTTAAAAAAAGAGATTTTTCAAAATGCCATTAACAGTCTGAATTTTTACTTCAGGCATTTGGGTTGTCTTTACATTGAAAACCATGAAAATTATGTTTTATAGTTTTCCACTTATATTTTAATGCACATGTTAGGCTAATAATTAAAATTATTTTGCAGATACATGGAAAATGTGGTATCTTAAGGTACTGACCCTCAACACATCCTCAGAATTATTATACACAACCTCTAAGAGATCCTTCCTCTTTTCTACTGCCTTGTCTTAGAAACATTTTAGAATATTTGATTATTTTATAAATTAAATTGGATTATGGCTTGATACTTTTCTGAAGATGTTCATGGTTCTGGTGGATTGCTGCGATGAGTAGGCTGTGAAATCCTGCTTTCCTCGGAACTAAATGCTTTTGCTTTGCATTTGTATCTTCCTGCAGATACATCCCTGATTACTTTCTCTGAGACCCTGCTAGCATGAGTGAGCAAAGACTCTGAAAAAAAAAAAAAAAAAAAAAAAAAAGGAAAGACTAAGAAGAAAAATAAGGAGATCAAGAAAATGGAGCAGAATCTGGACAGAGACGGTGAGAGAACTCGAACAAGTGAGCAAGAGTGATAGAGAATGAGACTTTGTATATAGAAGGAATAAAAGGCCTACATGATAAGAGAAAGAAAGAAATGGATGCATTTGAGAGAAATATAAAAGCTCCAGGTTTATTTACCTCTGTTTCTGATCAAAAATACTGCCTGTCCCTTGATACAGACATTTAGATTCAAAAATTCCTGTAATTGTTGCCTAAGTCATACCAAAGTTAAGACAGGTAGAGAACCATTAAATTCATGATTAAGACTGGTGTTCATCTAATGGGTGAGCTCTGTGCTGAATTAGAGTAAAGATGGCAATATGTTGTCATTACTGGGGTGGATCTCATCTGGGGGAATACTGATGTCATCATTTTTCCATTGACATGATATTATTTTCCATTTGATCTGCACATTAGAAGTCAAACTGTGTTTTTCCTGGTGGTTTGCTAGGGTCAATGTCTTTGCCCTCCCCACCACAGATACCTTAGAAAAAGCACTGCAAGTGATGAGTCTTGTTCTCACTCTACTCAAGACCTTGAGACATTTTTTGGTTCTGGTTCTGCCTAATGGTACATTTGGGAGATCTGAAATCTGGCTTCAACTGGCACTAGTTAACTGCAATGGATTTATTGATTCTTTTGTAATTTAACAAAAATGTGTCAATGTCTCTTAGGTTATCTGAGTAAGAAAGTTTAGTCCCTGACAAATACATAACAGTATTATGGGAAATAAATTATGAAAACAATTTTGTAACATAGGGAGCTAAATATTATGATATGTGTTTGCACAGAATGCCAGTGAAGGACATCAAACCTGGACTGAGGTGATGTGTGCTTTTGTGCATTGGAGAATTATGGTAGTGCCATGGTGGTGGCCAAATACACTTCTAGGAACACTGTCCCCGACAGAAAGGGACAGAAAGGCTCACAGACCAAATTAAGATACACATGACATGTCACATGGTTTATTGAGTCAATCTGAAGCATACAGCAAAAAAAAGGAAAATCTATAGCCTAGTTTAATATACTAGGATAGGTTGCAAATAGGCAGGAAGGATCACGCTACCCAGATCCTGTTGTATATGATGTTAACATGTCCTAGGTTTTTTTCTATTTCCCTATATCAATCTTCCCTTTGAAGATTGATATCAACTTTGAAGAGGTTCAAACTTAAGGATAAAGATGAATAGAGGATGAGACACAGGCAGATGCTCTTGTCCACAGTTGGGACTTGACATAGCCTGCTGAGCAGCTATAGATTTTATCTTTCTGTCATAGCCAGAGGACTAGTGGCCCAGATTGGATGTCCATAACAAAGAGTCTATTTAAGACCCCATGAGTATGACTGCTTCATGAATATGGGGTTCCTTACAAGCTTTATGACAATTTCATGCTTACTTGGTCTTTCTGTCTCTTCCTGTTTGGTCTGGTTACACCACCGATACTTAAGATGTCTCTCATGCTACTTGTTTCTATACTTAAATTCATCTCTTCTTGTTTCCCTGATTTTTTTAGTAGAAATAGTTATTCATAAAAATTATGGTAAGCGTATATTGCAGTTTTTGTGAAGGACACTGTAGTTCCACTTTAGTCTTGAAGGATGAGTGGTAGTGAACCAGGTAAGAAGTAGAAAAGGAAGGGGGAAGAAAAGTTTACGGGTGCTGGGTGCAGTGTGGGTGAGGCACAGAGCCACGTGCAAGTGTGGCTTTTTCAGGAGCATGGAAAGACTTTTTGTATGGGTGGGGGGTAAAATGGGAGAGGGTAGTTGCCAGAACTGATGCCAAATATTAGTTTCCCAAGATGTAAAATGAAGTAATTAAATTAATAATTTGAAAAAGTTGAAAAACATTTAAATTTGAAGGGATTTTTAGAAATTATCTAGTCTAAATAGCCAGCTTTATAGATGAAATATTTTTCTTTCTGGCTGCTTCATTTGTAACTCTACCATTCAGCCATAGGAAAATTCTGTGCTTTTTTTTGTAACCTGAAAGCATTTTCCCAACTGATAAGAAAAACTAAAAGCTTTCTTTTAGTTCTAGACACTGCTTGTGGCCAACCGTGGGACTGAACTTCAGTGCCAAAAGTGATTAAAATAGGCAGTGAAGTGGTTTGAATGGGGTAAAAGGGACTCCCTCCAAATGCTGCCTATGTTTCCCAAAGTCATGCTTTAAATCTGTCACTGGTAACTTATTAATTTGGGATTGGCCTTGTGCTTTCCAGTTCCTCTTTTATATCACAAAGTCCCCACCGTGAGGCAGCACATGGGATCACTAATATCTTTGAAAAAATTTGATTGTATGTTGTTTTTCTCAAGAAAGGGGGACTCAGGCAGCAAGAGGACACTGGAACATGTTGGGGAGGCCAGGCCTAAAGGAAGCTGAAAGGCAAGAAAAATTGTGAAGAAAATGAAAATTGTGATACTAAGGGCTTTGCTATTTTTCCTAATGTAGGAATTGGCCTGATGCCATGGGCCTCTTCAGGACTTCCATGCCTTTTATTTGCTAACATGTCCTATGGGTTTTTTCTCTCTATTTCCCTATATCAATCTTTCCTGCTGATGCTGTGCTTGAGGTCCAAAGTTAAGGATAAGCATGAATGGAGGATGAGTGGAGAGATACAGAGAAGATGCTCTTGTCCACAGCTAGGACTTAACAGTGTGGCTGAAACTGTTAGTTCTGTCTTTTGAGGACAGTTCTAGATAGATAGAGCACATTGAGCAAATGAAGAAATAACAAACCTCTTGGTCTTGTCTCACTGTCTTAATTTCTGTCAATTGAAAGGTCTTGAAACCTTGAATTGTGCCTATCAAATAAGACATACTCTTCTATTTCACTATCAGATGTGAGGCAGTAACAAAGAGTATTGCACAGTCTCTTTGTTTTAACTGTAATGGGCAGTATAGATATAGTTGTCTTCAAGAGTAGGAACATTTCCAGGAAATAAGAAGTGTATATAATGAAGACTGGGAAAACAAAAATATCCACTAATGGCCATAAGCAACCTTAATTTTAACTTTACAGTCAAGTTTTGGGCTAGAGAAAAGTAATAGTTATGTATAAATTAAAACAAAAATCTTAATTCTCAACAACATGAGAAGACTTGGACAATCTGAGGAGCAAGTAGATACTGTAAATGAATTATACTTAATTTATTTTGTTTTAATTCGGACATCTTCCAAAATATACTACAATCTGATTTAATTATGAAAAAAGATAAACTCTACTTCTAGATTTATGTAACATCAATTCACTGTTATTTTCATTATGTTGATTCTTATATGAAAGTTGGGCACGCAGATTTTAAATAGAGATTCATTAAAATATTCTATGGTAATTTTATAGAAAATTTAACATATGTTTTAAATGGGAGAGAAAGAATTTTAAGAGAAAATTTGGTAAGACAGAAAGATTATCCAGTTTTACCTGCGAGTACAGTAACAATCACAACTGCTTTATCTTGTATCATTCCATGGGTTAGGTTACTGGGTACAGTAGAGGTTCATATTGTTGGAATAATTTGATAGAATGAAAGCAGAATAAAAATAGAACAAAAAGGAATCTAGGCAATCTCCTTAGATTAAATTAGTTTATAATTCTACTTTAATTTATTGTCAAATTCTTTTTTATTTTCTTTGAGATAGAGTCTTGTTCTGTCACCCAGGCTGGAGTGCAATGGCATGATCTCGGCTCACTGCAACCTCCAACTCCAAGGTTCAAGCGATTCTCTTGCCTCAGCCTCCTAAGTAGCTGGGATTACAGGTATGCACCACCATGCCCAGCTAATTTTTGTATTTTTTTTAGTAGAGACAGGGTTTCGCCATATTGGCCAGGCTGGTCTCAAACTCCTGACCTCGTGATCCACCTGCCTTGGCCTCCCAAAGTGCTGGGATTACAGATGTGAGCCACCAGTTAAATTCTTAACACATCACAATTGAGGACTGGAGAAACTGCTTACAAAAATGCACTTAAATAAAATCATAGAATACTGGAGCTAGAAGAGGTTTCAGAAATCCAAAACAACTCTTCCTTTTCTGGCAAGGCAAAGTGGCTATAGAGAGTAGAGTAATGGATTAGAGCCTGGATTCTAGAGGCAATCAGCCTGGGTTCAAATATGGCTCAACTTCTCACTACCTTTTTAACCTTGGGTAAGTTACTTAGCCCTTCATGCTTCCTGTGAAAGGAAAAAAATAATATACATCATTAGATTCTTATGATGATTAGATTTCTAAGTGCTAACCCCTTAAGATGGTGCCTGGTACTTGATGCATGCTTGATATTATTGTTTTAACTGAGAACTAAGTTACGCAAGACCTTGTAGACTGAGGTAAAGCTTTGCCCTCAATTCTGAAGGCAAAAGTTGGAGTTTAAAGGCAAACGAGGAAAATAATTGATAAGCCATTTCTGTTTGAAAAGCAACTATTTCTAAATCCATCCATTACCACCCAAAGACATGAATTGCACATTGGGGACATCAATTGGAAGAAGTTTTATAATTTATCTATGTCCTGCCTGTAAACGAATGGCAACAGGACGCATGTGATTTCTTCAGCTTCTATACTGGGCCACATCTTTGCCAAGGTAAAGGCTATCATATTCAACTATCTACCTGATACCACAATGTGGGATCCTCACAGGCATCTCAAACTCACTGCCACTCTCACGTAACCTGTTCCTTCCACCCCTGCAAATCAGTAAATTTTAGTAAATTGTTTCTCTAATTGTTTAGCTTAGAAGCCTAAGAGCCATCATCAATACCTCCGTTTTTCTTAACTCACTCTCTCCTTCATCCAAGTGATCATGAGAGGAGAGCAGTCTCCCACCAAGACTGACAGACTGGATATTCACCAATAGTAGGAAGTTGGTTTGCATGCAGGACAGTTCATAAAACTCTAACAGAGATGACATTGCCAGAGTTTGTAGCACTAAGATTCACTATAGCACAATTTGGCATTCAGTGGCTCGTACTGGAGTCTCTTTCAGGGTTAATATTTTCTTCCTAAG